TCCTGGAGTACATGGTAGTACCTGGCACCTTGATCTAATTGCAGCTCCACGGATGTACTGGGTCTCCTTTATGATCGCTAAAGGGTCTTCCGGGATTCATTGCTCTCATGACTTTATTCACGCTCTGTTTCCTGGGTTTGACTGACTATGGGAACAGAGGAATATCGTCCTACAGATGCTGTGTTTGGCCAGCAGATCAGGAAGAACCTGCCCATCAGCATGTCTGAGAACCCGGGTGTCAGCCTGTTGCCTCCAAAATGGTATCTGTAGAAAGGAATACTGTGGTTTGAGATGCCAACTTCAGACTGTTAGGGCTAGCTAGGCAAGCTCTAGTTTATTTGGCTTTTTGGTTGATTTTTCCAAGGTTAAAAAGACTGTATGAATTACTTTTAAGTGGACAGAAGCGTCAGGGTTTTTGCTTTCTACTGGTCAGTATGTTCCCCAGCCCTCCCCAAGTGCTTAGTGGTAGCTGTGCATGCGAAAGGCACCTTTTCTGCTGATTCAGCGTTCAAATCTGGTGCAGGTGGCCCGAGGTGTGCTCTGGGTGTGAGAGATGGGGTCTCTTAGTACGGTCAGAAATGTTACTCGAGACTCAGAGAGGAGAAAGTGCAGAAGTCTCCTAGCCGCAAAGTAAGAATTCTCTGCCCTTCAGACCTCTCTCATCTGAAACGTGCTTTAAACAAGCAGGTATAATGCTGAGGAAAGGAGAGGGGGCAGAAACCCCACTGAATTTCGAAATGCAGTGTTCTTGCTGATGGAAGACTTCAGGCCTTTTGCTTTACAGACCACTTTCAAAAGCTTTAGAATTTGGGGGTTTTTGCTCAAAACCTTGCTACTTTGTGCAATAGTGTGTTAGCTATGACTCATAGTGTACTGAATATTTCCAAAATCAATATTTACCTGTAATGCCCTTCATTCAAACCTGATGGAATCAATCTTTACTTGTAACACATTTCAAATCTGATGGATTGGGTGGGGGGGGAGGGGAGAGAAGGAAAAAATCTTTCACATTTGTTTTTAATTTCTTTCCAGATAATTGGATTCCTAAGATCATAGACTACAGGGGGAAAAAAGCTACCAAACAGCTGAGTCCGCCTTTAACAAAAGCCAGAACTTAGACCCGAGTTAAACATTAAACTGACTGGTCTCAGGCACAAAGACCTGCTTATGGTGATAATGCCCAAATCGTGGTGTTCGCTTGATTTTTGTTAACTAAAATAATGAAGCTGGCTCCAGTGATTTTCATGCTGTGTGAAATCGCTGAGAAGTTTTAAAAGCCCATACTGGTATATGTAATAAGTCAGTATCTGTTTGGTTGTAGTGGGTCAAATATTTCATATCGCAAGATTTTGTACTTTTTAATTAGGTTCAGCTTATTTTCATGTGAATATTCAAACATGTGACTTTGTAACCTGCTTGCTGAAAATACCTGAGGAACACTCAAAATTCATGTGCAGAGATAGGCATTTATGAATGGAAAGTTTCTCAGCAGTGTTTTCCTGGTTCTTTTATTATTGTTTTCCCAATTATTTGTCTGTTTTTGAACACTTGAAAACACTATGTGCTTTGAAACGTTTTTCATGTGTCTAGAAATAGCAACCATTGTACACTTATATTTTTTCACTTGTTTGTATGGAAAAGGAAAAGCAACATTAGGAATCATATTTGTGTAGTACATTACAAAGACTTGCAACAAACAGGTTTTGAAAAGCTCCTGGAAAGTTTCCATAATTAGCTTAATATATGCCATAAAAATGAGCAGTGACCATAAAGAGCTACTGTGATATGCTTGGGTAATACCGCAGCCATAGGAATGCTTCAGAGCTTGTAAATATATAGCCCAGTCAGTTTAAAAAAAAAAAAAAAAAAATTGCACGTTATGATATTGCAAAATAATGTGGTATATTAAAGTTTTTAAAAGAGAAGCACGGATTTATTATAAGTCTATCTGCATTTTCCTGCAAAAGGCTTTCCTGATCAACTATTTGAACGAAGTAATATTCCACACCCTTAAATACCCCAGAAACAGATATTTTCTCCATACTGGTATGCATTATTGATGCATTTAATGGAATATTTTACAATGAGCATAAAAGCTCTGCTTGCAATTCGGATACCAAACACAGACATTGACTTCAGCACACAAAGTAGGAGTTACAAGAATAATTTGCCAACAGAGGGAGTTTCTTTATCTGTTGTTGGAGACAGTGAATCAGACAGCAGGTATTTGGGGTTGTCTCCTTTACCAGGAGGATTTGTTATGGGAATTTCTTTGATGCAGTTCTGTTTATTTATAGGGTATGAATATAAGGTCTAGTGTTTTTTTGCAGGAATTAGCGCAGTAGGAAACAGCTATGAAATAGCAGTTTTGCAATGCCAGCTATGCATTCTCACACTGTTAGTTGACTTAAAAATCAATCCTAACCGGCCCTCAAGGTCTTGCTGATGCTGTCATTTCAGGCTCTGCCAGAAGGGGTCTGCTCTGCCTCTCCTCTGTTCTGTGTTGTCTTAACTCTAGGGCTGATCCATTTGTTTGATTGCACGATGATCTGCATCATGGAAATGAGCCAGGCTGGAACTGATGCGTCAAAGTATAATCTTGTATTTGCTGAAAGTTGTTCTGTGATAAACACAGCCCTCCCATTAAAAGAAACTTAGTTATTGTGTTTGATAAGCTGCTTGTCAGCTAAATCACAGTAACGGTGTAGGGGTGCGTGTGGACCCTCGCGCTTGTGAAGTAAGTAGTTTTCAACCTGTTTCCTGATATGTCTTTACTTGTAGATAAGCAAGCTAGAACCGTGTGGCAGAAAAATAGGTGAAGTCAATCCTAGTTCCTTGAAGTCATTGGATCTTTAAAAATATCTTCCTGTTATGGAAAATGTTTTCTTGTAAAAGGAGCTAAGGAACACAATGTCTGGTTTGTGCAAAGTGTGGGGTTTTTTTTTCCTTTTTCTTTTTTAGGTCAGCTAGGGAAATCACTCTTGTGTAGTCAGCATTTATTTCATTGAGATGTTTTTCATTGAGATGTTTTTCAGCTCTGTTTTTTTCACGGAGGTGTTCCAGCGTGTTTTTCTGTTCAAGTCCGTGACGCTGTTGGCATAGGAAATGCACATCCCGCTGCTCTGAAGATGGAAGTAGAGGATAAATGATGGAAAATAGGGACATGTGTTTCAGATTTTGAGTGATTTGTTCATTGCTGCTACTAGTAGTGTTTTACAGAGTGAAGGCTTTATAACCAAAATAACTCTAGTCAAAATATCTGTTCTTCATTTTATCATATTAACGTTGAATCAGCAAGTGCAAGAGGAGCATGAAATTACAATCCTTGTATTATTTCCAGGTTCCTCCGTCCCCTGTGGCAAATACTTGACTCCTAGACTTGGGAGTTGGCTCTTGACTCCTATGAAAGAGGACGTAAGCCTTGTATTTTCAATGCGATGCTGAAGATGCTTCTGAAATTAGTACCCATGTAGCTTGGTGATATTAGTCAGTAATTTAAAGGATCTGCATTGATATACAATGATATATGGGGGGTTGCATAGCTGAGGAGCGGGGTGGTGGAGGGGGAATGGCTTTAAACCCATGTTTTATTTCAACAATGTTTTGCTAGCAGACAGAATCTGATTTTAGTGGCCATCGTTTACATCTGCTTCCTTAAGGCTGGGGATAGGAAACTTCATAGCCCAGTGATCACAGCCCTGAGGGCTAGGACCCCTCTCCTTGTCCTCTTTTCTTTCTAACTATCAGTTGGTGTGGAAAAAAGCAGTAGTTCCTGGGCAATGCACAGGGAGAGCTTTCCCTGGGCTGCTGGGGACTGAATACTGTTGTGCAGACATTTCCCTCCAGGTCAGTGATTCACCCACTTGTGTGAGGTGTTCGTCACCAGCATAGAGCTTTGATTTAAAAAAACAACGAAAAGCCCCCAGTACATGGTGATTTATAGGGACTGTGGAGGATTGGTATGGGTCGTGCTCTAGAAAGCACATTGAATCTACTCCTGCTTACTGATAGACTGCATTGGGATGAATGTATTTCTAATATACTTCACGCTCTTGAGAGTAGGGGTAAACCTTAATATTTGTCTGGGTATTTAAAAGGTAAAATCCCGATATTTAGTTGTTTTTACTTTACTTCTTTGGAATAGAAATAGATCATATAAAAAAGTCTTCCCTTAAATTTTGTCCTATAAGAAGAACAAGAAGCGTTATTTAATTCATAAGCAGAAATTCCTAATCGAGTATTTTTTCTTCTTTTTGATAATCTAGCATGAAAAGATTTTATAAGTTTTCTGGTGATCTTGGATAAGTTGTGCTAGCATGTGGTGAGCCGCACTTAATGCAAACTAAAGAGAGATTTTGATTGCTTTGTTTGCTTAGTTTCCAGATAATACATTTTAAAATAAATCCCAACAGTTAGAAGTTTGCATGAGATATTAAAATCAATTTAATAGGCCTGTTTAATCTGTGAGATGGAATTTATTAGAATTGGTAGATTTTTAAAACCTTTAAAGTCTTGTTGGGTAATATGACAAAGGAGTTTCCTCAAAATGAACTTGCTATATGGCTAATGTCTACCAGAATTGGTTCTTGGAAAAGAATCTTTAAAATTTCTCTATAACAGATATAGAGAAGAAATGTCAAAGGGAAAATGCAAAAAAATACTTGGGTGGAAATTGAAATCTCTTCTATGCACTTGTTACTGCCGTAGAACAGTTAATTGACCGCCTGATGATCCATTCAAGCTGTAACATGTTCAAGAGTTTACTATCGTCTTCTGCGAGCTTTGATGTCAGATTTCTGAATAGGAAAAGCCATACTATAGTAAGCTGAATACTTGATCTGCGCAATGCCTTGAATTTTAATGTTGTTGACTTGTTTCAAAGAGCAAAAAAGCAGTGATCTTAAATCAGCCTCTCGGATACTGAGAGAAACAAAGAACTCTCATTTTTGAGGTTGATGATGTAACTAATAATTTCTTTTTGTTTATCTTTCTCCTAACAGATTTATACAGATTGGGCTAATCACTATCTCGCAAAATCTGGTCACAAGAGATTGATAAAGGATCTACAGCAAGATGTGACTGATGGAGTTTTATTAGCTGAAATAATCCAGGTTGTAGGTGAGTGACTTTCTCTTTGTACCAGGTATCCACCAACTCGCTCAGAAATTCACTGTCTTTATCTTCTGCATAAACACAGGGGGAGGGAATCCATCAAACTGCATGGAATTACATAGATAATTTTTCCTTCAGAGACTTTGCTAATTAATTCGATAAAGCCTTGTCTTAAAGCATAGTGGAAAAATATTTGATGTTGCTGATAAGATCTCCTGACACAGCAATATCATTCCCCACAGCTGAATGTTAAAAAAGCAACTGATGAGGGATTTTTTTCTGCTAGGATGCTGTTAGCCTTCACTATCTCTATTTCTGATACCTTTTGGGGATTGGTTTGAACATAATTCACAGTGATACTGGCCTACTGTGTTGAACCTCCTGCTCTCAGTTGGATTTGGAAAATCCATATATGCAGCTAGGAAAGGAGAAGGGGTATAATTTTTATGTGGCAGAAAAAAGAACTCTTTCATAATGAGTTCTCAGATGAGGAAAATCATTTATCATTAGGACAAATCTCAAATATAGGCTTAGTTCTACAAAGCCTTTAGTTCCCTCAGTTTGCACTAATATTCGTAGATAATGAAGGTTCTAAACAATTTTCTCCATTGGCCCCATGTAAAGCTACAAACTCTCCCTCTTCCCTCGGGCCTGGATCCTTCATTAGTTCCTTCAGAGGCTCATCCATCTGGTACTTGGGACGCCACAAAACACAGGCATGGGCCAATGGAGATTGATGGAATCGGAAAGCCTGCTAATGGGAGTTAGGACAACTATTGTTAGAAGCAAACTGCCAGATTTGAGATGCAAATTAAGACAGCAATGAAGTAACAAGACATCAGTCCGTGCGTATTTATACGTGTTTAGATGCTGTAAACGAGCTAGTTCCTTGATTTAAGGTGCAAATCTGCAAGCCCTGTTCTCGGATGAAATTGCAAGGCATCATTCCAAAGATTCCACTGGAGCTGCACTGGCATACATCAAAAAAGATTTTGTCTCTCTGTTGTAGAGCAACGTAATATTTCAGTAGCATCCTACAGACCCGCCATGCAGCTACAGATGTATAAAAACAGGCCATGAATCGATTGGTATTGACAGGTATTCACTATGAACAACACTTCATCCTATATCTATTTCCTTATGTGTGTTTAAATGGAAAAAAAATCTGGAAACGCAGAACAGTTAGGTGTTGATTCCTTTCACACGTACCTGGCTACCCTGTGTTAACGCTCTTGTAGAAAACTTCTGTGTGAGAACACACGTTTAAGAATACGACCATCGAAATACGAACCTGGTTGTACCAGATATTTAAATGTAGTTGTTTGAGAATTGACTTCTGAAAACTCTTATGAAATTAAATTACTCCCTCTAAAACATGCAGAAATAATAGTGCTTACTGTATTTTGCTTTGGTTCGCCTTTGCATTTTTTTGAGCCATTCCTAGAGCTGCCTTTTGGCTAACATTTAAGATTAGGTCTGCAAGCTTTCAAAAGTTAAAGTACAAGGTGAAGGATTTCATTTTCAGAGAATGTTTCCCATGTGAAAGAAAGTTCATACTTAAACATTCTCAGTTTAATCCTCCAAATGAAAGTGAAGAAAAAGTCATTTGTATCTGCTGTGTATGGCCTCAGGCACGCTGCATCTCATTGTCCCAAAGATGGTGATAACTTTCACACCTAGAAGCAGCTTTAACTGTAGCCGGGGAAAATACAAGCTTTTTTCTAACAAACAAGACTGCATACTAAGAAGGTTTCTATATGCAGTGTAGGAGAGGTTTTTCTTTTTTATGCTATGTGTAAAAGCAGCCATGAAGATCCTGTCTCTTTTTTCTTATGTGCCTGGAGATTATCCACAGTCATCAAAATTGATTCAGGTTTAAGTATTAGTGATACAATTTGTCTTCTGTTCACCATCTGAGATTTACATCACAGATGTTGAATCTTGAGATACTACTTGGTAGCCAAAACTGGAAAAAGAATAAATGTGTGGTTTTGGTTTTGTTTTGTTTTGTTTTTCTTAATGCAGACTCTGTAACAGTTAATGATTATACAGAGACAGTGATCGCAATCCTTTCAGCTTACCTTTCTTAAGTGACATAGCTGTATATTTAGGGAAAAGAAATTTAAAGTTAGTAAGAACTAGGTAGTTCTTTCATCTTAGCATCCAAATGAGGAGCAAATCTAAAAAGACATGAAACCAAACATCACTGCATTTGACTTAAGAGGATATAATCTTCAGACTTCAAAACTGCTTATGATAATATAGAAGCGTTATATGATGACAGTTTTTTTCGATTTGCAAGACAATTAAAATGCATTCATAGCATTCTGGTTTATTTCAGTTCAAAATTTATGAGCCTATAAAAGAATACGTGAGTAATATGTGCCTTAGTAATGCCATATAAACATAGTAGCTATATTTAAATTCATGAATTCATGAATGCAGATATACTGGGCCTGTGCGTGCTCTGAAATCGGTAATATATCAAATTGTCAGTTGGTTCCCTGTGAGAACCTTCAATTTTCAAGACTTAAAATCGATGCTAAAATTAAACTTTAACCCAGTCTGATAGGACTTTTCCTACTGGTGCCTACAATATTTTGTGGAATATTTTCATTGATCAGATACAACCAAAGTCAGGTCAGACACAAAAGCTGCGGCTTTATAAATAGGGATGCAGACATTGTGTTAGCATTAAATACTTATTCAGCTAAATAAAAGTAGTTTTAGTAAGAAGTAAAATGTGCACATCAATGTTGTGCTGGGCAATCAGTACACTGTTACAGGAGGTGATGGGCACGTTGTTTAGTGTAGATGCTTTGGATATGCCAGGATAGCCTATCATATAGTTGTATCTTGTAACTTGTGTTCTGATTGAAATTAATTGCACTGACTTAAACAGAACAGATCTTTGCTTTAATTTTAAAAGTCATTTGCGATTACTCCATTTAACTATTCCAGTTCAAATTCGTACTGTGACATCTCAGTATAGCTTTTTTCTGCTGTCATGAATATTGTACTATTACATTTGCAGGGGAAGGTTACAGGTTTATATTTCAAACCAGAATCCTGGGATCAAGCCTAGCAGTACTCTGTAGTGATAACTCCTATCATGTTTTGGGCGGGACTTTACACAAAGGTTCATTTTACTAATATTTGAGTGGCTGTTAAGTTAAAAGCTGCAGGTGACAATTCCTACACAAATGTAGGAATTATATTGAGCAATATTCATTCATACGTTCAAGAAGAAGTTATCTAATGTCCAAGGGTATGCCTAAAGTACTGAATAATGCAGAATAGCTGCTAAGGTTGTAACTGCCCATGCACTTCATTATTATGAAGTGCATGGACTTAATTTTTGTATGGATGGTTTAACCAGCGCACTTGATGGAATGTCATTTCCTGAAGATTTTTTTCACCAGGAATCCATAGAATTCTTTGCAACTTTTTACGCCAGAGTTTCCTTTTCACTTGTGTTTTCATACAATTTTGGCTTGCAGTTTCATAATATGCCTCTTGTCAAATACATAAACCCAAATATTCTTTTAGGTACCATTTTCCAAGCTTTGATTCAGATCCAGCTAAAGAAAGCACAATGTCACTCATTGCTACTTTCGTTACAGAGCACAGCTGGTTTCTCCTGTCTGCCTTAGTACACCCCTCAATGGGAAAAGTTTGCAAACACTTAAAAGCATTTGAACCAAATTCACTGTATTCACAGTGGGGGAAAAAAAAAGTGAGGGGGGAAGCTCTTTGGACTTGCAGTCACTTTGGGAAAAATCCTCTGCATTTCACATTCGTGGTTGTGAATTTACGTCTTGCTCGAGACTGAGATAGAATTGCTGATGTAGTATTCCTTCGTGGCAAATAGAAACAGTAGCTGTGAGATGCCCATTTATCTCAGCCATAAAACTGTGCTTTCGCAGCTGTGAAATTGGACACATTTCCAAGATCCCCTAGCATTCAGTGACTTGTGCTGTGAACTGTACCGTCACGCTGCCCACACCACCACGTTGTTATCTCTTTCACTGCTATCTCTTTCTTTCCAACCATCTCCACAAGACAAGCAACTTACCTCACACCTGCTGCAAGCACTGTTCCTTGGAGCTAGGTGGAAGGGTCAAAGGTAGGGTCCAGCTTATGGCCAAGGAATGGGAGCATCAAAACAATTGCCTGGTGAATTAGGCAGATTCCTGCAAAGTGCCAGATATGCCTCTGGGCTGCTTTGATGCATCTCCCCAGCCTAGGTTGAATCTCTGAGGTCTTACCCTGCTGGGTTCAATAGAGAGGTATGAGTTCAAGTTCAGCCTATCTGCCAGTTTGCTCCACCACCAGCTTTTCTGGTTCTTCTCTATTCCACCTGCTTTTCATAGCACTTGCACCAGCAGGGAAGGGATGATAATTGCATTAATCTAGTGAAAGGAGTAACCAAGAGCCATAGGTGAGTTGGGAGTGGATTAAAAGGTGGAAAGGTAGGGCATAAACCTGCCCAGGGAAAGGTAGTTGCTGAGGGGTAAGCAGAAATAGCACCTGATGGACCAGAAACTCCAGTTCTTGTTATTCTTCTGGTTCCCACCAACTATTTCTGGTCATCTACATCCTAAATCACCTGTGGTAGAAAAGGCCAACAGCATAAAACGAAGTGATGAGTAATTGGGAACTGATGAAGAATCATCAACTGGTGGACAAAAAACTGCAGGTTCACAAGTGGGAGGCAAAATTGCCTTGGTTTAACATAGCTTTTGAGAGGAAGTAAAAGCAACTGTTTAAAAACAAAAAAAAAAAAAAAAAAAAAGAAGAGCTAAAAAAAAAAAGTTGTAATGAAATAAAGAAGCTACAAATCAGCTGAAGCTGATAAGTGGAGTACAAGAATAGCTGATGACATCTTTTCTATCTGCAAGCTGATAGAAAGGTATGAGGACAAAAGGACTAATTTCTAAGTGAGAATAGTAATATAACCACAGTGTAAAAAAGGAAGGGGATAAAGAGGTAACATCCCAAATAGTTGGTGTGTTTGATGTAAATTTCTCCTGACAGGAAAAAATTAAGGTGGCATTCATTTACGTCTTCATTTGCCCTTAATTTTCCCATGTTATAGAATGGTGTATTTGTTAGTTTATGGGGTTAACCTTTAGTGTACAGCTCTAGAACCCATCTTGTACTCCAAGACTGTAGCAACACCCACGAAGTGTAGAAGTAAAAGTGTTGAGTAAATATTTTGGTTCTACATTTGCATAGTAAAAAAGACTCAGAAAAAGTCAAATACTATATTGCAGCAGAATCTTGGAAACAAGTTACTAACAGTTTAGGCAGTTTCTAGTAGGTGAGTCTAGGTAGTTTGTGTACAAGAGCTTAAAAAGAGCCAGGTAATAAGCTTTATGGTTTGCTAACATTGGTTTTAAATACATCGTGTAACAATTTGGAAGTTCTAGAGGAGTAGGGAAAAACCTACTATTTTTTAAGGAAGATAAACCAAATGGCTTGTGTAGAGAGATACCTCTAATAACCTGTGTCCCAAACAAGAGAAAGCTCATTCAGAAGTTCATTAGTCTCCTTGCAAGTAATAATTATGAACGGTGCAAATTTATAGGAATATAGCTATCAATTTTTTAAAGTATTATAAATTTAGTTGATAAAGATACTGCATGATACTAAACTGAGAGATAGTAAATATTAAAAGAAGGATGCACAGGATTTGTAAATGGCATTTAAAGAAATAATTTTTGTTTCTGTATGAGCAAATCTGAGATTGCATTCCTGAAAGAAATGCATGCTCTTTATCTGTAGAGGCTGATAGACCACTCTGGGGAACAGTACAGTGGATTTAGCTGCAATCTTTTTCAGATTAGCATCAATTCTTAAATGCATTCCTGTGGCAGAAAGGTGTGCTGTGACACTTGGATGTGTAAGAAAGGGGAATACCAAGCAAGAGTGAAGTTATATTACTTCTTTCTTTGTCATTGTTATGACTGCTAATGGAATATTGTGCCAAATTTGATACTCCTAACTGAAGAAAGACATGAAATGAGGTGGAGTTTTGGCTGATGTCCTGAGAATATGGGACTGGTAGAAAATACAGTTTTTAATGTAAGAATCGATGGGAGGCAAATCTGTTCGATTCATCGAATGGGATGTGGACGCGTACCTTTATTACAGTGAAAAAACTGTGGGAAACCGAACTTTGATTATAACTGGTTCTTCAGTCTAGCACACAAGTCATTTCAGGGTCCAAGTCTGAAATGCGAAACTGAGCAAACTAAGACTCTAAGGCAAACATTTAACCACCTCAACAACTTAATTGTTTCACTTGGGACTTTAAAGATTGAAACTATATCTTTTTCTGCAAGTTGCATTGTATGTAAGCCATGGACAAGAAGCTTGAAAAGTAGTCTTGTGGTTTGTGCTTTAAGAAAAAAATAATTTAAAAAAATTAGAGTTATTGATCATAAATTTCCCATCTAGATTTAAAATATTTATTCACTCTACGAGCAAATCAATTGACATGCAACCATCTATACTTATGTAGCGTTCACTTTTCCACCCAGCAGTGATTCAGTTTCCAGAGTTTAAATCTCTTTTGTAGTTTAAAGGAGTTACCCGTCATTGTACAAGATGTTGCCAGACCAGTTGTTTTCTGCCCCCAGCTGTCTCTGGAGGCATGACCCACTAGAAAACTCCAGCTGCTTTTTTTTTGATGGGTCTCAGTGTTTCACACATTCACTTTGACTGGACAACTACAATCTGAAACCCCTTTATTTAGCTAGCAGCAAGTGCTCTGGAAATAATTGGAATAAACATCCTCGGTATAGTTTTTTGCTTTATCTCCTCTTTTTTGCTTTTCAGCAAATGAAAAGATTGAAGACATCAATGGCTGCCCAAAAAATAGGTCTCAAATGGTAAGTAGTAAAGAGGTCTGTTGTTTGTGTGTACATGGTTGAGTATCGAGTGAGAGTGTGTGACTTCATTGTCTGAGTCTTTTAATAACAATTTGTAATTAGTTTTTCACAGTAGTGAGAGCAAAGGTATAATCTGAAAAATATTAATATTACAGTTCTTGCCCCATTGTACTCCACAGTAGTTGAATTAGGCCTTATCATTTATCACATACTTACAATCACTATTATTCTTACATTGGTATTTTATATTTCTGTAATATCACATAGTTAAACAGGAATGTATAAAAATAAAATTTTGTTCCACTATATAGACAGTAGTATTGCAAAAGCAGAATTAGATATTTATTTTAAAGTTGAATTAAAAAGTTCCTATATCCTTTGAAAAGGAACAAAATAAATGAGTAAAACACACTAAATGAAAAAAATTCAAACTGCAAACTTCAAGACGTTTTATTTTATGCAGCTTGGTTTTGACTGATAAGTTTTAATTTGTAAAAGAAGTTGTTTTCTATCTTGCTTGTACATAATATTGAAAACTGAAGAACCAAAAATCAGTGCAGTGAATTTAAAAGCATATAGTACCTCAAGAATACATCTGCTATGAGTATTGGTGAAGCTAATATTATAGGCAGAACTGTAGTGAGAATGCAAATAATAACAAACTGATTTTTAAAATGCATCCTAGGAGTGTTTAAAATTTATGATCTTTTAAAGAAGGTTATTTCCGTCTGTATCTTGAGAAAAAACTCATTTTACAATATAAATTCTAAAAATCTCCCCTTTGCATTGCAAATGCTTACTCTGGGATACGTGAATATCTGTTGTGTGTGTGAAGCTATTTTAATGTTTTTCGTTTTTCTGACTCTGTTCCCAACTGCCCCTACCTCCACGACTGCAACTTGAGCACAATCACTCACATAGTTAGAGGAAAGATTAAAGATTTGATGAGAGTTTACCATCTTAAGTCAGAAACCACACTGTGTTCTGCTATTCTGTTTTGGTTTTTTGTTGTTTCTTGGAAGTTAGCAGTCTTACTTAAACCCACGGAGCAAGCACTCCATAAAAAGAAAGCCATCTAAAAGATTTATCATTGCTACTTTTTACTGCTTTGAAGAGGTTGGTTGCTATTCTTATCGAAGCCACGGCAGCTGTCTAGAGTATAAATAATTGGGGAAATTTTGACAATTGCTATAATTTAATGTTCCACAAGTGTATCATAAGAACTGAATTTCATTCAGGACTGGAGTCTATAACAAATTCCAGGACATTGTAGCTAAAAGTCACTTTAAGTCATTATTCTCAATGAAGGAACAGTGGTGTTCTGTTGGATAGTCGGGTGCACGCTCTAGGTTGCTTATAGAAGTCAGATCTGGTTATAACCAGAGGCATGCTGGGCACGTGCTGGGTCAGGAATTGTGAAGAGTGCTGGAAGGAAGAGTTTGCTCTGCGCTGCCTCCTCTGAGGCTCTGCTGTTATTCCGGCTGCTCGTTCAGGAGGGTGGAGTGAGTGGGACTGTGCACCCTGCTCACGAGACGTAGTGCATCAGTCAGAGCTAGGCATCACAAGACATTGTGCATCAGTCAGAGCTAGGCATCCCCAGCGGTTTTCCTCACATAAGAAAAACGAGGATTATGCTTATGGTTTGCTTTGATTAAGTGTGTGTGCTTACAAAGCTCTTTATAATCTTACAGTAAAGATAGTAAGGCAAGAATGTAAGTATCTTCACAGAGGTTGTGTTCACGCAATTGCTTGCAGTGTTTAAGGAGACAACCCTTCTCCAGATCTCCTGCGTTCTAGGAAAAATGCATATGTTACAGCGGTGGGTTTTTTGGTTTTTTGTTTGGTTGTTTTTTTTTTTTTTTAAAGATACGGCAGTGTTCATCTTTTGCATTTCAGTGCACTTTCCTCTTAATGCAGTTTACAACCATTCTCCAGAGTGTGGGAACTGGTGTTTGTGTCTGGCACTTCTGGTTCAGAGAGGTGGCAGAGGCAAGGCTATCCAGTCAGTTCAAACACTCAACCAGGTGATGTCTGGTCTTATTTTTTCAAATGAATCTTTCAGGTGTCCATATGTATATTGTAGTGTCTGTAAGGTGGGCATCACAGATGAGTAGATTTGGGGGGGAGGGGGCAGGGAAAGGCGCCGTAAATGAAGATTTAACTTTGCTCATTAAATAGAAATACGACAGAGTTTAGAGGGAAGCCTTCTACCATCATCTTTCTCCCTGTGGCAGTTATCTCACTTGTAGACTGATGATGCCATGAGCAGAGACACGTGTGAGCCGAATTGTGCAGAGCCAGCTCACGTCCAGCCAGATGTATCGGCTTAGAAAGCTGGAGCAAATTGAGCCCATTAAAGGGGGTGTGAAAGCAAGTATATTTGCTTCCATGTGGCACAGTCCTAAGCCAGTAAAGCCCGCCAAACCTTAGAGAGCCAGATCAGGTCTCTTTGCCTTGTTGTTCCCATTGCTACAGTGTTGGAGAGCATCATACAAATTTGCCCAAATTGAGCATTAGAGACAGCTTGGGTCTGTCAGGCTCAAAGCCAGTGCTAATAAGCCTTGTCAAATTAAGTTTGGTACTGCAGAACCGTTTGGGACCATCAGTGCTTATCAACCTAGTCCCACTGCCAGAAATGACATGACAAGGACCCCCACTGGCTCCATGAAAAATCACGTAGGTGAGAACCTATCCCCCCTCGTCATCTTGTCCGGGTTTCTCTGCTGTGGGGAGTATCCCTGTCTTCCTTTGCTCCAGATAAGAGTTGGCTGGCTTTTATATAATGTTACAGACTATTCTACATCTTGTCCTCTGCGTAAGTCCTGTTTCAGGGTTTTTTTTCCAAACCTCTATGGTTTTGTACTGTAGTTATTCCTCTAAACAAAAGCCTGTAATTGTGATGATTAGTTCCAGCTGGCATGCAGAAAATCCTGTGGTTAATAGAAGATGTAGTAGTACGGAGCACAGGCTCTGAGGCCAAGAAGATTTGGAGACCATCACCACAACTGCAGTTAGGTTTTTAGAATGAAGCACAAGAAAATACTGGCATGGTTCTTGAGAACAGGGCAAAGGAGGGTAAAACAAGACTGGTTTCCTCTCCTACGCGCTCCTGAAAAAAAGACTGAGGTCAATAAACCTGGGTAGGGCTATCTCTGCTTATATTGTTTGGTTGTAGAAAAACACAGATCTCTCTCTCTCTTTCAATCTGCCTCTTGTTTTGGGAATGATATTAGAGCTCAACATTTGGCGTCCTGCAGAATCTGGACTATATAGGAGGTACTGATAATGTCCATTCCCTTCTAGGCAGCGTAGATGATTCTTATTGATGTGGGTACCTTTGCAAGTGCTGAATGTTACCTATCATAAAAGGATTCAGAGCACTTATATTTGTAAAATGGTAAAGTAAACAAACAAGAAATAGAGTACTTAAGTGAGCTGTTATATGTTATATATCAAGTCTGGCTGTAATGGCAGTCTGTAGAAATCTTGCTCTATAGGTGCTGCGTTCTGTCTGTGAAAAAATATGTTGTGTAAAATGCTCACAGTTTTTGAAGGAAGTTTCACAGCAATGTTTTAGCACAGTGCGAGAGCTGAGCATTTTATTATCTTGTACATTAATGTATGCTTTTTGCACAGCAGTGCAAAGAGGGAGAGAGAGGGAGGTGGTTGTGTTACCTATTACATGCAAGTGATAAATCATAACAGATGAGATAATGGTAAAGATTAGATGATATAAGAAGGCGGCAAAGGACAAGATGTTGGAAAGATCAGAGCATTAAAGTGGAGAGCGAGGTGAGGAAAGAGAAGATCCATATCAGCTAGACTAGAAGCGACTGGGGAGAGAGCCGAGTAAAGAAAGTTAATTTTTAAAACATGGACTTGAAGACAAAGAAGAGAGGAGGTACTTGCCAGTGAAGGGATATGTTGGCAGACACAGGCAACAGTTGAAACACAACTGAAGATGCGACTGGAAGAAGGGATAGAAGAAGTAGCAGCAAGGTGTCTTATAGGAGAGGTAGGCGGTTTTTCCCACCGTGAATGTAAAGGTAAGAAATACTGAATATGGCAGGGGAAAGATATAAGACATACCTCTATATATATTTAAGAAAAAAGTGTGAGAAAAGACTAATGAGAAAACAATTTTTTTTTTCAAGGTTCAACATTTAAAAAAAAAAAAAAATCACAGATTATGATACTCTAGAAAGAACTGAAATGTTAGGTGTGAAAGTCTGAGAAGTGATGGTGCATTACCCTTGAAGCCTGAAGGAGTGGAGCGGTAGCAAAGCTGTCAGTGCTGAAGGGAAGAGGATGGGGGAACCTGTAGGTGGATAAAGCAGACGCTCATCTTTCCATGCTAAGCCTGGGGAAGTTGTGGGACACCCGAGATGAGAATTTGGAGCAGCAGAATGTAGGCTGAACCAACACCACAGTTCCCTCCTATAAATAGAGTAGGAAATAACTGTGGTTCTCATGTGGGTTTGTGGTTGGGTTTTATTATTTTTCAGGATGATAACTTTGGGTATATAAGTATCTGTGTTATCAAATAACAAAGAGGAGGTATTTATTTTTTTCGTGTGTTGACCAGAAGTTTTTCAAGAATCATCCCTTTCTGATGAAGATACCAAGCTGTACTAGTAAAATAATATGGCTCAGTCTTTCTACTACTGTTTGTCTTGCAAACATAAAGAATCTTGTAGCGCAACATGGGTCAGAGCCTGCATTTCTTCCCAAGGATTTTATGAAAGTCGAGATGAAGGCCATGTTTTCAATATGTTCACTGTCTTTGCAAGGAAACCTTACTCCCGTGATGGCAATTTGACTATTCTAATTTGATCGATTTCTTGTATTCTGAAACTGAGCTGTTCTGTAATGTATGTGACAGTCAAAGAACTTTGTATGAAAGTTTGTATGAAAACTCTCCAGCCTGGTGTAGGGGCCCTGGTTTGAAGTGAGCAGCACTGGGAGTTTTAATTCAGTTGTTAGAGCCGGGTGTCCACTTC